ATAAAATTTTTTTTAATTTAAAATAATTGATATTTTTAATATAAGAATATCTTGAAATGTTATGGCAATTCAATAAGGCGTCAACGCCAATTAAATTTTAACAGGTAAAAATGATTTAATTAATATCTTAAATCTAATGGAATTATTTTAGAAATTTAAATAATAAGAAGATCCAATCAACTATTAATAATAATAGATAACTATTAGGATGTAACATAAATAATTAGCCCCACTTGTGGTAAGAGGATTAAATAATTATTAAAATTCAACTAAATGTTTTCAGACTTAAAATAATATTTTTCTATGATCCCATAAGAGTTGCCTATTTTCTGGCAAAAAATCAGAAGTCTAGGTTTAGGTTGGCCGGAGTTAGAGGTAAAATAATAACTTTTGTATTTTTGAAACAAGGCAACTTCTTTTTGATTTTCATCTGCTAAATTAATGACTAAAATGAAAATTTAAATAGATTCTGATAGAGCAGAATCTGTTGAATACAATGATATAAAAAATTCCCCTGGAAAACAACGAGCTGATTTTTTATAGGGTCGGTTTTGTGAAATAGGGGCTAGCATTATGTTTATATGAGATAACCCCCACACGATAATGCGCAGCGAGGCCGGGAGACCAGATTTTTTGATGGACTCGATCTATTTAGGAACAATACTATAATAATAAAGGTTTTAGACTAAATTGTGACGAAATTTTTCCAAAATAATTTATTTTTAAAATCTTTTAATAAATTTTACAATAAAATTTTTACAAAAATAATTCAATTATTTAACATTTTATTTAATTTATTCATTAAGAAAAAATCATTTTACTTTTAAATTTATTTTTCACTAGAATATATTCTTCATCTCAATTTTCTAAAATAAAAATTATTTTTAATTAAAAATATTCAAGATACTTGGAGGCTCATCATGACAACAACCAATAATTTTACAAATTGATTTAACCAATTCACAAACAACCGCATCTTTTAAAGAAGATTTTGAACAATTTTCATAACAATATTTTTCACAATTCAATTTTAATATTTGTGAACAATGATGAGAATTGACAGAAACAATTAAGAAAATAAATAGAAAAGAAAATAAAATTAATTGTTTCATATTTTAAAAATGTTATTTCTAAAATTAAAAATTTTTTTTAGATTTAATTTAATAGAATAAAAACTTAAAAAATGAAAAAAAACACATAAAAAATTTTTTAAATTATATTACCTAAATAAATTAATTAGATATATTATATTTTTTCAGACCCTCGTTTCATAATGAAGTAGAATTGAAATTTTAAATTTAAAAGTCAGCTTTTATCAGTATTACTGACGACCTTGAAATAAAAGACACAATTTCGGAAAAGGATCTAAATAAGGCTTTAATCTAAATAAGACAAATTCGGAATTATTAAGATTGATTTCTTTAAATTTATCGTGTAAATGTAAAATATTTATATAAAATATTTTAAGGAACTAGATTCATCATTTTAAAAAAATATTTTTTTCTAAATATTTTCTTTATCAAATATTATATGAATAAATAAACATAAAATAAATAAAAATAAATATTAAAAAAAATAAAAATTAATAAATTTTTTAAGAAAAACAATAATAATTGCTAATTTATTACTAATTTAATATTTTTAATGAAGAAACAATTAATTTTTCAATCATTATTTTTACATTTGCTTCAATAACTAATCTGAACATATTTTTTAATAAAATATATATTAAAATGAATTTTAGTTAAATGGATTATTTAAAATGGATAAAAGATCTTCAAATTTTTTATAGCTGCAGTGATGTCATTAAACTAGAAAAACGTTCGTCTGATTGTAAAATTGTTAATAAATTGTTTATTCAAATTTTCCATTTAAGATTTTTGAATTTTTTACATTAAACAAATAATGTTATTTTTATTTTCTATTTAATTCTGATTTTAAATTTTTATTTCCTGAATCATTGATAGAATTATATTGAATAAACAATTTTGTTTTAAAAATTAATATTTTTGTCAATATTTAGAGAAAACATAAAGATTGTTAAATAAATATGTACATATAAACCGACAAATGTTTCTCATTATTTGTGAATTTATTTTAAATTATATTTCAATCTAGTTCAAACATATTTCTTAAATATTCAATAAATTTTAATTTACATTAATTAAATGAATATTCTGATTTTCCCTTTGTTTGTGCTTTTCTGTTTATCATCTCTTTATTATTCCATAGAAGCAACTGAAGGGGTTTGTATTCGTTCGGAATGGCATCGGTAGGAAACTATGTAATACTAAAATAGCTTTAATTACAGTATCCCAACGTACAAATGTTTGCAAGATACATTGTCTGCAAAATTTGTAGTTGTCGGTGCCCTTCGTGAAGATGGGATAATTGATAAAAATGCGGACATAAATATTATTTTTGCTAGGGCAGCGGGTTTTGTTGATATAGATATTTATTTTTATCCTTGTGCAAGTTGTATGTCAGTTATTTTTATTAAATTTTTTTTGAAAAAAATTCCTATTTAGCGATGAAATTAAAGACACTCTCAAATATCTGGAAGATTATAATGCAAAGTTTAATAGGGTTTGGTTGTGTATTTGGGGAGTTACTGACGCTAAGAACCCTGAAGGATGGTCAAGTGTTCAGGACAAAAATGTGGAAATTATTAAGGTTTGTTTTTATCTTAAGGAACTGTTTTGTGAAAGTTTGGAAGTATTAAAAATTTTAAATCTCAATTTTAAAGAAAATGGTCGATACTGTGAAAGGAAAAAATTACGACTATGGCATTTACACTAATAGAGAAAATTGGATTGAAATAACTGGAAATTCTAGAGAATTTAATGATGCCCCACTTTTGTATTATAATTATGACTACAAAAACAATTTTGATGATTTTTATCGTAATCCATTTGGTGGTTGGCAGACTCCTACAATGAAACTTTATACTTATTATAAAAAAGTTTGTGGGGCAGAGGTTTGGTCACTATGGAAACCATAAAGGAATTGACTTACTATTTAACATTTAAAACAAAAAAATCAAATATTCAAAGTTACTATTAACTACATATATTTTCTTTATAAAATGAATAAAATTCTTATACGTGGTTCGGATAGGGGTACATGCCGAAGATTCATCGGAATTTTTCGGCTTTTTGACATCTTACGAATAATAAGTTTCGTAAGAGCTATTATTAGGGATCGGATTTTTAGGTCGTAAAAACCTTAAAATAGGTACCTAAATAGGTTGTATAAAATGTAAAATAGGTGACAAAAATAGGCAAATAGGTTGTAAAAATAAAGAAATAGGTTGCAAAAAAAGCTCGACATACTGGGCCCCAATGCAAAAATGTTAATAAAATTCTGTTTTTGAAAAATTTTCGATTTTTGAGGATAATATTTTTCAAAAAATCGAAGAAAAATTTTTGAGCCGATAAAAAAATTGACAAAATTTAGAAAAATTTTAAATTTTTTTTTCAAAAATTTTTGAAAATTTTTATTAAAAATCGAAATTTTATGAAAGAAGCCCAAAATAGGTGACAAAAAAGTGAAAAAATAACAAAAATATCCAAAATAGGTTACAACCTATTTTAGGTTGCAAAACGCCAAAATAGGTTCAAATAGGTCATAATAACTCCCCGTAAACAAAAGATTTTCAAGAAATAACAATTGATTTGAGCTCAATTCATCAGGATAATTTCGCAGAAAAAATAGGTTATAACCTAAAAATCCGATCCCTAGTTATTATTCTACTTATTCTAACTTTCGTATGTAGAACAATAACTTTCGTGCATCTTACGAATAATAATTTATGTAAGGTAATCTACTATTCTGATCACGAATATGATATCAGATTTTTTTATCATGTACTTAATTTTTATAAAATATTTGATTTTTATAATAAATCAACTGTTGACTGGGTAATAAATTGCAAATTGGTTTAAAATATTATCAAATGCTTCATTTTTTCCTCTACAAACACGAGCCTCCCTGAAACTCATCCAAGTAGGATGGTAAAGGTTCAGCTGTTGTTCAAACATTGCCTTATTATTTTGTTTATTTTGACATTATTGTTGCACGTTCCTAGAGCGTCTCAACCATAGTGTCTCAAATCATATCACAATCTTTTTTATTGATGTTAATTATACTAAAGAAAACATTTTGAAGCAAAGCTACTAATCATTCGGATTTTACCTCCATTCTGTTCGATAAACTAACTTTAAATTATTAAAATTACAAAATTTTTAATTGATTAAAATAAAAAACAAATTTATTAAATTTATTTATGCTTCATTCTTATGCTATGGTTCAAAAAAACGGTAGGCTTTACGAAAACATGAATAATATAAATTCAAGAAATTTTATAAATAAATTGAATATAATTTTTTAAATATATCTGATATAATTAATTAATTTTTAAATAGCGAGCAAGGTATGTCATATTTGCAAAAATAAACTCAAATATAATAATACCATTGGAAATTATATATTTTTATTGCTATTTAATTTAAAATTAGATTAGCAAAAATTATTAAAAAGTATAAAATAGTTTAATTCAATTATCTATAAAATTAAATTACAAAAATCTCGTTCAATTTCTTTTATTTATCTACTTAAAATAAATATAAAATTTTATCCATTTTTCTTTTCTCACAAATTTTTTTATTATGTGCAAACAATAATTAATGAGAAAAGATATTTTATTAAATATAATTATTAAAAATTACCAAACTACAATTTTAAACTACGGAAAAAAATTTTTTCAATCCATTCTGAACTCATATTTAATAAAATAAAAATTAATATATTCTCTTCATTATTCGTAAAATTCTCTCAATTCTAATAGAATTTTGCTTGGTTTTTTTAAAGTAACAAAGATTGATTTTTTAGTGAGTTTAGCTAATGTTTGTTTAGTTTTTTACTATTTTTAATGAATTACTTAATTTATTAATTTTCTCTTTTATTAAAGTTCTATTAAATTTTTATTTATTATTTAAAATATGAATTTTAATAAATTGATTGTAAGAATTCTTTCTTGTGAAATTTGTGGAAAGCCAAGTGAAAGTAAAAATTATAATGTTGTTAGTTGTCCAGGTACAGAGCCTTTTGTTTCTATTTTTTATTTAAAATTATATACTAAATACTATACGATTGCGTTTAACGGACCTGAGTTAAAGATGCGGATAGCATTCGGATAACAAACGATAGATCTACCGGATACCCATCAAAATTTTTGTTCATTTTTAGTTACATGAATGTAAGGGTTGTTAGCATAAGATAGGCTAGAGTTGAATACTGAGCAAGGTCTGGACTAGATTATTTTTCTTTCGTTAAAATGTAAACAAAAACCATAAGTTAGGCTAAAATATATTTAATAGTTGGGAATTATACTAAACTATAGATACAATTTTCAACTATCAGCGAGCAAGTAAGGTTCATTAAGACTTTGAAACAGTTAAAAAAGATTACACGCATGGATTTATCTAAACAATTTAAATAAGTTTTAAATTTAATTCTTATTTTTTAAGGCTGTAAGCAATTCTTTCGCCGTACAGTTTTATATCAAAAGGTTGTCAAATGTAAACGAAATAAAAAGTGTGATATAATAAATGGTTGGTGTTCTTATATTAATAAAACTAGGATAGCACCCCGAGTCTCTGGGTTACCATAATGGACTCCCGCTTTGGGAGCCTTTTTCCTTTTTAGCTCCACAGGCAAAATTTTTTTCATTAAGAAAATTGCGAGCTCAAAATTATATTTTAGCTATATTCTAGCTAAATTAATATTTAATTATTATATTAGGTGAAAGATGTAGAGGTTGCCGTTTTGATAAATGTTTAATTGAAGGAATGGATCCTTTAATGATTAAATTCGATGATAAAAATTGCCGTAATGAGTTTATTGAAAAGTTAGAAAAACATCGATATAAATTGCAACAAACAAGAGCTTTAGATTTATATCATCAAGAAGATGATCAAAAAATTATTTGTGATAAAATAAATAAAAATATCAATGAATATAAACAGTCGACAAGTAATTTAGATATTGGTATAAATAATAAATTATACTTCAATGAAACAGCAATTGGTATAATTTTCTTAAAAACAAATTGTTGCGTGGAAATCGGGCATAAATGAACGCCGAAAACCAAAATTTTTAAAATATTGAAGGCCTCTTTTTGAATTTTCAAGATATCCTAGTATCTTTTGTTGCACTAGGCTTAAAGATTTGTAAGGATATCGATGAGTACAGAGGCACTTTTATTGGCTTTGTCCTCCCGAATTAAAGGGATTTGAAGAAACTACTGAGTATATTAGAGGACCAGATTCTTTCTTTCTATTAAGAAGATTTGCAGGATATTGGAGATTAAAGGAAAGTGACATCTAGCGGTGAAATCATGGGAGTTAAAGATTATCGTGTCCTCCTTGGATTTATCATACTCTTGGGTCTAAAATGATTGTACGTAAAATAGAAGCTTTTATCGTTATTGTTCGAGCAGTTCAGAGTTGGAATTTAAATTACTATTGACAATGATTATGAAAAATTATAATAAAGCATTCCCTATTAAAATTTTAAAAATTATAGGTCAACAAAATTATTTGATAACTTCCAATTTTAATGAAGAAATTAGTCATGTAAAAATTAAATATAAATTTAAAAAATTTTTCTAATTAAAGATGGAATTTTTAATTCAAATCTGTGAAGCACAGAACCGAATTAGAAATGGCTATATGGATTTTGATGAACAACAATTTATATCTATGAATTTTAATTCATTACAAGATATTTTGATATTTGGGCCAAATATTATTTCAGAAGCATCAAAATTTTCGGTAAAATCAATGTTTTTAATTTGTTCTCCTGAATAGAGTTGTCGCACAGGGACTGCAAACAGAAAACCCGAACCACAAATCGACTGAAACCATCTGACAAACATTTACGAAAAAATATATCATATACATATACCGTTTTATTCTAATAGAATGGCTCTCCAATAGAATGGCCCCTCCAATAGTGGTCTCTTTTTGGGTTACCATGTAGAATGGGGTGTACCATGTAGAAACATATCTTTTTTAAAATTAAAGTAAATATTTACTAATTATAGGTAATGCCAGAGCTTATTAGTTCAAATGAATTTAACGAACTAATTGCACAATTTGGTGGAGAAATAGGTCAAAGTAGACGTGGCACTAAAATGATTCTTGTTAAGAAACTTCTTTGTATTGGAATTTTTAAATCTTTACCTATTTTTGCAAAACTTGATGTCAATGATCAAGTTTGTTATTATTATTATTACTGTTGTGTCCGCACTTGCAGAAAGAATATAAATGAAAATAAATAACCCATCATCGGGTTGGATGGTAGCACAGTCGGTTGTGCTTTCGGTTTGTGCCCTTTCCATGATGGTTCTATTCCATCTCCCATTCAAAGAATTTTTCCACAGCATTAACATTATAATTACTAATCGAATTCTTTAAAGGATAACCTCTCCAACGGAAATTTAGGAGTTTATCAGATAAGAACTTAGACCCATCTTTTGGTTCTAATTTACTACAAAAGTTCAGACTATAAGATAAAATTATATATCTAATAAATTTATTCAATGATGTGTTAGCTGAATTTCATCTTCCTTAAAAAACCATTGAATATTTTTCGTATTAAGAAAAATTGGGACCCTGCCAGGGTTGGGTCTCCCGGTGTCAAGAGACTTTCGGGAGACGCCCTGGGAGTCCGGTCTCCGAACCGGTCTCCGAACTTAACTAAGAACGATTAAAACAAATCTATTAACAAAATATTTATTCAACATAAAATGGGAAAGTTTATTTGGGAAAGTTGTTATTTGGGGATTTTGGGAAAGTTTTTCTTTCCTTTTATAGAGCCGAGGGAAAGATACTCAATAACAGCTGTCAGATCTATAACATTTCCTTTACCATTAGTTATTATAACTCTAATTTTTTTAATTTTAAAGATAATTATTTTGAAATATGTGTCACGTGCAGTAGTATATCTTTGCTGTTGTTTTGTTTCATATGAATTGGGTTCTCATACTTTGATAGAGAAAGATGGTTTTTATCCAATGGCTCCATTTTCTGATGAATTTAGTTTTAAAGAGGATAAAACGTAATTTCTAAAAAATAAATTAAAATAAAAAAATTTAACGGAAAAAGGGATTTGGAAGGATTAAGAGGATATTGTGGAGTCCTTGAAAGCTGTCCCGATTCCGTAATATCAGAACATTTTTGCCTACGGTTATTAAATTTTAACTATTTTTGGGCGTGATTGTTTTACAGAATCTACGGTATTCTAATTTTAATAAAATAAATTTAAGACTCTTCGCTTTGGCAAATAAAGCATTCAGTAAACCGATGGAACCTTTCCATCGTATTGGAATTTCTAAAGAAGAATTTAGTCTAATTTTGGCAATTATATATTTAAATCCAGGTATTTTTAAAGAATATTTAAAAATATTTTTTAAATAATTTTTAAGATATCCCCGGTTTATCAGAATTCGCGAGAAATATCCTTTCAATTGAATTTTCCTTCTATTCTAAAATGTTACTTAATTATTTACATAATAAATTCGGTATAGATGCTGGAACTAAAAAGTATGCTGAATGTTTTCATTTAATTTCAACTTCATTTATTGGAGCACAAAACTTTACTTCATTATATATTTATCAAGAAGCTTTATATAAACGTCCACCACAAAGTTTAAAAATCCCAAATTCTCTTAAAGCTATTTTTTCAATTTAACAAAAGATATTTATAATTATATTTTGGTTGGGTATGTAATTTATATGCTATGTACGTTCTTAATTAAATTCTGGTTTTGTATGATTCTTTAAATATGTTCTGGGTACGGCAAATTTTCGACCTCTCTAAATAAGTTCGCTCCCTTCTATATAATTTATGAAAATAATTTTCTTGAATAAATTTTTGAGAATAATTGATTCCCCACAGTTTTCTGCATATTTAACAACTGTAAAGAAAATAGTAGCTATCTAATTCCTAAGGCTGCCAGTAGGCGGAGTGGTGTAATGGATAATACATTAGTTCAGTCTACCGAAGATGCTGCTTCGCTCCCATCCGGCGGGTAACCTTCTGCACTAGATGAAGGAGTAAAAAGCTATAGCCAACTCATCTTTACTAAATATTTCAGCGAAAAATCGAATATTGCATAGTAAATAGAATTTATCATAATGTTAAATGAACGATGTTAGATAATAATAAAGTTTAATAAAATCAAAATAGATTAACAAAATAATTTAACAAAAAACAAAAAAATACATAAAAAAATTTTTTGTTAAATTATTTTGCGATTTTGAATAAATAAATATTCATGCTTTGAAAAAATAAACACTTTCTTTATAAAATATGAACTTGAACAAAAAAACTTCCCGAAATGATTTTAAATGATAGGAAAGATTTGTAAATAATTTTTAAAAGTATTTTGAGAGTTTTTAACATGTTTTAAAAATTTAAATGATATGATAGACCCGAAAATCTTTTTTAAAATATACTAGAAAAGTTTATGATTGTTTTAAAAATTAGGGAACTTGTGTAAACCTAAACTATATTCTAAAATTCTTTACTACTTTCACTCGGTAAACTGATAAAAATATTTTAAGTCCTAAAAAAGCAAAAAAAAAGTTCTCGAAATATCCGAAAATCCCAAAAAGCCTTTTCAGTTTACGTAAGCGCCAAAATTTATAAAAAATCTAAAAATTTTGAACTTCTTCTTCACACCATACTTGGACATTTCTATAAGCTCTGTCTCGTTCATAATTAAAACCATCACATTCCCCCTCCATAAAACGAACAATTGCATCCATAGCTGGACGATCATCCGGATTAATTTGTAAACAGCCCTTAATTTAAGTATATAGTTTGCTTTCTAATGTAAAGGCCAGATTAATAATAATAATGATATTGAAAATGGTATAATTAGGAACGAGATAAAAAACGAAACTTGCAAAAGAATATAAAATATGAACATAGATTAATAGATTTGAATTATTACTCTTTCCTGATTATTAAGCTTTCACTGAATCAAAATTTTTATAAAATACCTTTATGATACGGTCCAACTTTTCAATCTGCCCTTCATAAATTTGTCCTTCATTTCGGCACTTATTATCTAAGAAGTTATCCCATTCTGTATAATTAAAAGGTGGGTCCGAAAAATCACGCTGAATTCTTTGGGGTATCTTATATCCATGTAATCTCTGACAGATCATTAAGCCAAAAGTCCAAACATCAAGTTTGGTTGATATCTAAAATTATATTGATTAAATAAATTATTTCATACACTCATAAATTAATTATAAGACACCCCTGTTTTTTGAGGGTTTCAATTTTAAACCGGAATCTGTGTTATCTGTTTTTTGTGTCTTAATAAGCCATTTATTACACAAAAATATTAATTTCAAGTATTTTTATGAGATATAAGGACGATTTATTGAATAATTACTGTTAGATACATATAAGATCCCCCCTCTAAATGAAAAATTTATCAAATTTTTATATCAAAATACATTTATAAATTGAAATTTCGATAAGAATAAATACGATAACGTATTTTAATATTTTCACCTGGGGAAAAAATTAAAATATCCGAGTATTTTTTTTCGAGTTTTATTTATTAATTAGAAATCTTCGAATTACAGGGCTGTATCAAAGACGCGAAAGATAAACAAAAATTGCCATATAGACCAAATAATTTTTAGAAAACTTTCGGTCTTGGACAGCTTTACATAATTAATGAATGTATTTACTGTTCATAGCCCCCATTTCAGTAAACGGTTAAATTTCAAACAGTTAGGAATCGAGACAACACAAAAGCAGTAGTTATTGCGCTGCGAAAAAATATTTTAAGTTCCATTTTTTGGTCAAAAATGTGAGGATTTTTAAACTCTTGTAGCTACATATTCATTTAATTAATTTAAATATAAATTAATATACACTGTTAATGTTATGATGTATACGAATCTCAGGCCAAAGTAGACAAACTCGCAAAGACTTTTCTCTTGCCAAAGTAGACAAACTCGCAAAGAACTTTATCACACGTACAAACAAAAAGGTAGACGAAGGTTGTTGAAGTAGGATTGAACAATCTCATCAAGAAGGAAGTAACTATTGGCTGGATTTTATAAAAACTCGTTTAAGGGCTGACGCTGAGGATTCCAATAAGTAACTTACAAATAAAATTAACTCACTAAGCGAACATCTTGATTATACGATTATTTTGGTCATCTGCTAACGAGTTAAAAAGACACTATAAAATTTCACCTTCATGATCTTTTAGGTAAGAATGAGAAATTTTATATGCTATGCATCTTTGCCCTTCTGGCCAATATGCATGATAGACCTTAAAATCAATCATTGTTTTAATAATAAAGGATGGTTTCTTAATAAAATGAAGCAAGATAGGACCGTTTAATTTGATTTCCATAAATATATCAGTTATCTTAGACTTGGAAAACATCAAATAAGACAAAAATATAAAAACACAACCGAATTTTTTATCAAATCCGATTAAAAATTTTCGGTAATAGTTCGGATGAGACCCCCCTCCTTTTTCCTTTCTAAAAGTATTAAAAAATGATCAGTCAGTCTTAGGTTATAGAACTCGTCGAGCTGTGTCGAATGACAAAATCAACCCCTGGTCTTAGCTTTGGGCCAAGATACAGACCCCCAAAATTTAAAAAACAAAGGTGGACCAAGCTCATTTTTTGGGCTAAAAATTCGAATTAACAAATAATAGCTCATTCGAAAGAGCTTGTCGAGCTGATTCGGATGACATCAAAATCAATATAATTGAACAAGATTTGACAAAGTTATGAAATAAAGTAATCCTATTGCAGTCGTGCGACGCTTTTGCAAAACCTTTCTCTTTGTGTGTGGTTTTTGTCTGTATCTTGGCCCAAAGCTAAGACCAGGGGTTGATTTTGTCATTCGACACAGCTCGACGAGTTCTATAAATAAGACTGACTGACCATTTTTTAATACTTTTAGAAAGGAAAAAGGAGGGGGGTCTCATCCGAACTATTACCAAATTTTCTAACAATACAAAAAGTTTGACCCGAAACAGCCCTGATGAAAACTTACAACTGCTGTTTTGCCACGCCCGATGATATTCCTTTCAGGTTCATATCTAATTTCAGTATCATCAGTATTAAAACACTTCGTGCTTCTAAATACTTTCCCATGAGGACAAGTTACTGAGCTTTGATGCTGTTCCTCTGAATTAATTTTAATTAATTTCATATTAAAATGTTAAAGAATTTTTTAAAACACGCCTTCCGCCTGATATGCATTCTCTGAATGTTGACTTTGATAACACCCAGCATTCACTCCTTCAAAATAATTGTTAAATAAATATAATTAATTCATTACCCGACAACAGAAATAATTCCAAAATTAAAAATTGGACGAACATCCAATGTAAAATATTCATCGAAAGTTTTTTCTTAAAGTATTAATTTAAGGTATAATACTTTAAATTAACAGCTTAAAATATAAAAATATAAACAAAGTTTAATTAAATAAGAGCAACAATTAATAATTTTAATTCGAAGTTGAATGAATGGGGGCACGATAATATATATTACTTGCTTAAATCCTTTCTCTCTATATATAATTACTCTCGACTTTTACAATCAATCTAGTCATATGAGATTGACTTGCTTGCTTCCCTCGATAAACATGCCCTTGTAAAATTTAAAAATAAAATCCAAATTGCCAAAACCAAATCGAAATTTCGATATAATTTTTATTACTAAACTTGTAAATTAAAAATCAATCATATTAAAATTATTAAATAAAAACTAAAAAAAATCCAAAGTTTTAAATAATACTAAGTTTGAAATGCCGTGCGTTACATAAACATACGTTTACTCCTATTTTTTATCTAACTCCATTTGGAATAGTCGGATTTATTTCAAATTTTGCGGAAATATAACAAATTTTATTATACTTTGAGGAAAGATTAAACTGACTAAACTATGAAATTTAAAAACAATTTTCATATCAAAAAAACTCTCAGTGTGCTGGGAATACATTAAAAAAAGAATTAAGTATTTTCATTAAAAATTAAAAAAGTTAAAATATAAAATTATAAACAAAGTTTAATTAAATAAGAGCAACAACAACTAATAATTTTAATTCGAAGTTGAATGAAGGGGGGCACGAGCAACATCTCCCTTTCTTTAATAACGTGTGTGCATTTTGTGGGTCGGGCTTTAAGACAATCATGGACCCTTAACAGAAAGCTTTTTAAGCTAGTCACTAGTCACTCATCGCTCTTTAAGCAGACAGCCCTTTAAGCCAGGCAATAATCGCAACTCATGGTCTTTGAGCCAAAGCTTTAATGCGTCCCATCAGCTTAGCTGTCTAGCTCGAGAATTTTCTATAAAGTTTTTTGGCCAAACTGGCTCAATTTATGTCCCAAAATCATGTGTCCTGTCATGCATTATTCGCTCGCTCACTCACTAAGCATTCTTGTATAACTACAAATCATCCTCTTGTATAGACTCTTGCCTTAGAAATTAGCAGGAGTGGAGTTATCGTTATTTAATATTTAAATTAGAGCCCGGACCCGGGCTCTAATCTGAAGAAAAATTAAAAAAAATAAATCGGACCCGGGCTCTAAGAACCGGGTTTTCCGGGCCCGGTAGCCCGGAAACCGGGTATTTTGATAAAATCCGGTTTATATTTGATAAAATCCGGCCCTCTCTTAAATAAATTGTGTGCCTTTGTGGGACGGTCTATAAGACAAGCATGGACCCTTAACGGACAGCTCTTTAAACTTGTCACTAGTCACTCATCGTTCTTTAAGCAGGCAGCCCTTTAAGCCGGTCAATAATCGCAACTCATGGTCTTTGAGCCAAAGCTTAAATGCGTCCCATCAGCTTAGCTGTCTTGTCGAGAATTTTCTATAAAGCTTTTTGGCCAAAATCCTATTTGGCTCAATTTATGTTCCAAAATCATGTGTCTTGACTTGCATTATTCGCTTGCTCACTCACTAAGCATTCACTGTATAACTACAAATCATCCTCTTGTATAGACTCTTGCCTTATAAATTAGCAAGAGTGGAGTTATCATTATTTAATATTTAAATTAGAGCTCGGACACGGGCCGGGCCCGGTAGCCCGGAAACCGTGTATTTTGATAAAATCAGGTTTTTCCGGGTTTCGAGGGCCCGGCCCGGGTCGCATCCGAAAAATCCGGGCCCGGCCCGGGTCCAACGTTGAGTAAATTTTGAAAATTAGCTCCCGGAGACATAAATTAGGCCCGGAGCCATTTATGCGTTCACTAACTCTTTCCAAGTATACATTAATTAAAAGATTAATGTTGTTTTTATTCATTTTTATTTCTTTATTACCTCCATTATTTAATGGAATGGATCAAGATGATTACCATAATGCTTGTTACCATTCATGCTGGAATGGTTCGGCAAATTTATGTCCTCAGCATTGTCTGGCCATTACTAATCAAGAACTCAGAACTAATTGTTGGAATAATTTTTGTAATGATTGCTATATCTTCTATAGAAATCAAAATGCAAGTCAATATCTCTATTATTCTGTTGAAGAAGGGGAATGTAAAATAGAATATAATGAAGTTGAAACGGAAAATGAAATGCAGACGAACATCATCATATTGCGGGAGAGTGGGAAGATATGCCTTCTACATCGCAAGGACAAACAGACCATTATCAATATGAAGAAGAAGAATGTGAAGCAGATTATGATGAAGATGAATCTGAAGGCAATTTTCGAGAATATGATAATACTGAAGGAGGGTGGCAAAAAAAATAATAATAATATAAAAAAATAATAAAAATAATAATAAAAAAAAATAATAATATTAAATATATTATAATTAAATATATTATAGATTTTAATTTGCGAATTTTAAAAATAAAATGCTTTAAACAAAAAATTGAACATAGTATGATTAATTTAAAATGAATAACATTTTAAATGAACGTTTTCAAGGTTTAATTTTATCTAATCTCTTCTAAACAATCCCTTTCGTCTCTAGTTTCCATCTGAAAACAATAAATTATAAATAATAATCTTATTTAAAGTACAAACCAGAATCTTTGATTTGTTTATCTATATGAAGAACATTTTCAAACTCCTTTTGCTTATCAATAATAGCTTGTTCATCAACATCTGTATTCTCGCTATCATCATCAAGTTTAGCTTTTATATAATTAAGATGATGTTTCTGAGAATTAATTTATAAAATAATTTATAAAAGCTAAAATATAAGTAACTTTATAGTCATTTTGACTATCAATAAATAATTGATTGTAATTATCAGGAAATTTGTAATTATAAGAATGGTAATTATATAATAGTTCCTGAAGATTATTTATTAATATAATTTATAATAATCAAAATTACTTCAATCTTGCTTTGGCTCTCAATAGGTGATTTAATGTTATCATCGTGTTTTGCATTAGAATGATAGAAAGTATCGAATTCTTTCTGAAAATTTATTTTTAAATGCTTATCAAAAATATAAGAATTAAAATTTATACGAGTATGTCCTCGTAATTGAAATTTGATGTTTGCCCAATCTTATCCATTTTTTGATGAGATGGAGAGTGGCTTGGATGCCCAAACTTAAGTTTTTTCCCAGATTGTTTATTATGAAGATCGTTATGAACTTCAGAATTTCGTTTATTAGATTCCTCTTTTTCGAAATCTTTTAAACTTTTAACGAATTGGCCCTTATCATGTTCTTGATCCCCAGACATTACACAATCCAAAAATATTTGCAAGACGAAGAATATCAAAATAATAAATTGGAATAAAGAAATAAAGTTCATTTCTTAAAAATATTTTTAAAAATTTTTGAAAATCTATAGACACAAGCATACAAAAATAAAAAGATATTTTGTATTTCAAAAGATTTCAATAAGAAAATTAATTTAAATAAATGAAGGTTATTTAATATTGTAAGTTTAATGAGTTATAAATTTATTTACATTTCTAGCATTTTCTTTTAAAATTACACGCAAAACTTTTGTATAAAAAATTTTTTATTATTGAATGAAAATAAATTAAAGGCGAGAGGGATAAGTTGCACTCGGCAAAAATTTTTACAAATAAAATAAAGCTGGCATGATTGATAAAATAAAACTAGCTATGTCATGTCGGGCATAAAGAAGGAAAAGCTTTGACTTGAGAAACACGTGAAAAATTATCGCAATCAAGGATTGTGTTTTGAAATTTTTTATAGAAATTTGTGTTGTGTTGTTGCACTTTATTGTTAATAAAGTAGTTGATTAAAGCTACTAAAACTAATTTCAATTTAATTAAAGAAGAATTTAAATTATCAGAAAATATTAACCGCGATTAAAGATTTCATCACATGGATCAAGGATCAAATAAGCAGATTATTATAATTATTGTAAGGATGACTCACCTAACAGTATTTAAAACGCTTAGGCGGGGGTTAAACGATCTAAAAAGGAAAAAGAGATAGCTCGGAGGTAGAGCTCCTGCATATAGTGAGCGAAAGCGCCTAGCAACAACTAGCAGGTGGTAGGTGGCTAAACTTTTGCAAACTTTATTGAAAATTGATTCAATTTTATTAATCATTAAATAATAATAAATAAAGTTTTTAATCTACTCTAATTTTTAGCATTATGAAGATAATTTTAATAATTTGCTTATGTAATGTAAAATAATTTCGATAAATGAAATATTAATAAATATTTATAAAGTGATTTTAATTTTAGTTAAAATAATTCATTATTGAATTTGGAGAAACATAAACTTTTGTAGAATTAACAATTAATATATATTACTTGTATATAAAATTCCTCTCTAATTTTACAATCAATCTAGTCATATGAGATGGACACGCTTGACTTCCCTCGATAAACATGCCCTTGATAAATTTAAAAATAAAATCTAAATTGCCAAAACCAAATCGAAATTTCGAACTAAATTTTATTACTAAATTGTATATTAAAAATAATTAAATTAAAATTATTAAATAAAAACTAAAATATACTAAATTTTAAATAATCCAAAACTTGAAATAAATGAAATTATTTAGTTGAAAAAACGGCAATCCCGGAGAAAAAACGGCAACACATCCTTTTTATTCGAAGAAACCCCTATTCTCCGGGATTGCCGAAAAAACAATTTATTTTTATAAAGACCGTTACAAAATATTAAGGCAAAATATTTTTTTATAACTCAACCTACTCCTTTAACACTTGGCTCATCATTGGGAGAATTTTTCTACAGGATAGGATCAATTGTTTATTGTAGCAAATTATGTGGGCCTTCCGTAACTAATTTGTAAATTTTTAAATAAGTTCTAAGGGGTCCCTTACCCACGTTTCCGTTGATTTCGGGGTTTTGAGATTTTTATAAAGGAAGCATTTAATTGGTAAACATGAAGTATGAGTAACACGAGAAAATGTGTTATATTGTAATTATAGAAATAAATTGTCTTTTCAACTAAATAATTTCTTTTAGTTTTTATTTAATAATTTTAATTTAAATGATTTTTAATATAAATTTTAGAAATAAAATTAAGTTCGAAATTTCGATTTGGCTTTGGCAATTTGGATTTTATTTTTAAATTTTACAAGGGCATGTCTATCGAGGGAAGCAAACATCAATCTCATATGACTAGATTCATTGTAAAAATCGAGAGTAATTATATATAGAGAGAAAGGATTTAAGCAAGTAATATATATTAATTGAGTAAATAATTTTAATTAATTGCTTTAATTCAAAAATAAAAATTTTATCTTAGAGTGAGTGTTGAATTAAAGCATTTAACTTTATTTAAGATTTTGAAGATACAGAGCGGTAAAAGTAGAGACAAAGGCAGTTAAGTTAGATTACATCTATTAACACTCTTCTATTATTTTTAAAAAATTTTTTCAAAAAGTATAGAGTAAAGCAGCTGGGCTATAGCTATTTCTCTCTTTTAGCTAGAGCAAAAGGTTATTCGGCGGCTGGGAGCGAACCAGCATCTTCAGTAGACCGGACTGATGTGTTAGCCATTACACCACGCCGCCTACTGCTCAGCCTTAGGAGTTAATAGCTATATGCTTTACACCTCCATCCCCAGGGAAGACTGTCCCTAGTCTTCTTATCTGCCCTCTTCCCGCTTTTTCTCTCACCTGCGGGGTAAACTAAATCATCGCCTTCTCTGGCGGAATTTCCTTTCTCTAACCCAGGGCCTATGGGATGGATCGTCATTCGTTCAGCGTTCGCTGAACCATCCGGTGCTACCAGTAAAGCAGCTAGGTTATAGCTATTTCTCTCCTTTAGCTAGAGCAAAAGGTTATTCGGCGGCTGGGAGCGAACCAGCATCTTCAGTAGACCGGACTGATGTGTTAGCCATTACACCACGCCGCCTACTGCTCAGCCTTAGGAAATTAATAGCTATATGCTTTACAATAGTTAAATAAATAGTAAAACATACAAAAATTTAAAATTAAACTCTCTGTTTTTGCGTCATGTTATAATTTTATCTTACATAGAGTGAGAGTTTTTAATTTTTAAAGTTGAGCTGTTAACAGTAATCTTGTATATTTTGTAGCAAATTAATTATACTGATATTTTTAGTTATTTTAAGGAGCGCTTAAATATCAACTCATTGTTTTAAAACTTTTTTCTAAAAGTTAATCAAAAATAGATAATCGACAAAACTAATTTAACAGCCTTTGGCTTTATACTTTTTTCCGACAATGTATAATTTAATAATTAGACAAATTTATACAAATAATTTAAAATTATTTTAGCTAATTTAGACATTCATGTTGTTTTTATTATTTATGATTTTTCTATTTTCTCCATTATTTAATGGAATGGATCAAAATAATCACTGGAATGCTTGTTGCTCTTCATGTTGGAATGGTTTCGTCGAAAATATATGCCCACAAAATTGTTGGGACATCCATCTTGGAGAATGCATAAATATTTGCTGGAATAATTTCTGTAATTATTGCAATAGCTTTTTTGGGAATCAAAATGCAAATCAATCTGATGATCATTATGAAGAAGAGGAACGTGAAGCAGATCATGATGGAGATGGATCTGAATGTGAAGTTCAAGAAGATAATCCAGATATAGAGGGACAGTGGGAAGAAGGGTATGAAGGCTATTTTCATGAAGGGCTTCCTGATAATGAAACCGAGTGGGAAGAAATGCATTCAGCTTTACAAGAACCTTCTACATCGCAAGGACAAACAAGCCATTATCATTATGATGAAGAAGAAGAAGAATGTGAAGCAGAATATGAAGAGGATGAAACCGAAGGCAGAGTTCGAGAATATGATAATACTGAAGGAGTGTGGCATGAAATGCCTTCTACATCGCAAGGACAAACAACCCATCATTATGATAATTGGGATGATGATGTTTCACAGTATAACCCTGACATACATATTCAATTTGAAGGAATGAATATAGGAGGTAAAATTTTATAATTGAAATAATATCGTTGGAAAAATAAAATCCTTATAGGACTCTCGTTAAATAATTTTTGTCTAATCATCTAAAATAAAGCAACAACTTAAGATAATTTCCAAAAAGGATCCTTGTGCTTCATTTAAATATAGACTAGCAAGTTGCATTTTTTTCCTATTAATATTGCATACCATATCTTAAAAAATTTATCGTTAAAATAGTATAGCGTTGAGGCTTCTGAATCTATTAGAGATTTATTTGTGTAGTAAATGTTTCATTTCAAACAATGAAGAAAAAACTTTGTTTATTTTTAATATATTAATATAAATTTTATTAAAAAAAACAAATTTTAAAGATCAATCAGCTCAACCAACATATGAAAGATTATCAGGTTGATTTCGATATGCACAAATAATTTTACCAAATTTGATATAAAATTAATTTTTACAGATTTAATAACTGCACAAATTAATTCTGGATCTTTGTCAGGTAAACAATTCATAGCTCTTATTATTCTCGAATTTTTTAAATTTAAAATTTAGATGAATTCCTTGCTGAAATAATGGCTAACATAAATTTCGAAGGTTTAAATTTTAATTTTTAAACACTTTTAATACATACTAATAATTGGATAACAGTGTTCCAAATATAAACACCATTATTATAATAAAATAGTTTGTTAAAAATTGTCGTCCGCAATTATCGATCGCAATCGTCGCATCCGCATGTACATATCCGCAATTGTCATAACACCGTTTTGACGCATTATTTCTTTTCAGAAGGGAGAAATCTTCGGGAATCGGAAATCTTCGGGAATCGGAACCGGACGGTATGATCCCTAATATGCACCGAAAAGTCCGAAAATATGCACCAAAATATGCAAAATTTCTCAAAATATGCACTGATATGCAATTATGCATGGACTCCGTACGCTCAGATGGCATTTTTTCCATTTATCCCCAGTCCTAATTAAAATTTGCAAACAAGCTTTAAAACTATAAAACAACAAGCCTTAGAATTATAAGCTTTATAATTATAATTTAAAGCCAATAATTATTAAAGTTATTTGAAAATACAGGGCGCACAGATAGAAACGATTTTGATCTTCTGAATATGTTTGATGTTAGAATTTTGCAAAATGTTCGTCAAATTTGTAAGAATCTTGGTCAACGAATCGATGTAGATTCTCCATGGACAACACACTTGTGCAACATTGCGGATAATATAGATGGTATTTTGTCTAAAATAAGAAATGAAAAGGATAACGGAAATCCTGATTACTATTTATTATTTAAAAGAATTTCTAAATATATTATGGCATTATATGAGAAAAATCATGAAATTTGCTATTATGTTGATGAAGATGATGTGAAACATGACGTAAAGAAAATATTTAAGCCCATATTTTCCAAAAAGAATGTAAAAAATTGGAGGGAAAAGACATTACAAAATTTAACCGCAAAAATAAATGTAAATTTTAGTTTTATACATATGTATTCTAGTTTTTATATGTATTCTAAAGTTTTAGTGATAATTTATTTTAAAATTTGGATGGGTATTCTATTTCGACCTTATCGAAAAAGCCTTATAAGTAAGAGAGGGCATGACCTGAAAAATTAAAATAATTTACAAATTGTTGGATGTCAACCCCTATAATCTTACAGGGTGACAAGAAATGTTTAGGACACTAGTCATTTTGCCGTAACTTTTTTTATTAATATTTTTTAATAATTTTATGCTCATTTCGTAATATGAATAAAGTTATGCCAGTAATAATTTGTCCTAAACTTTTCTTGTCGTCTGAAAAAGTTTTTAATAGGACGGCATGTATATGAACTAATTAATTTTATTTCCCAGGAACTGATCAATGAGGGTATTCAACTAAAATATGATTACAAGACAACGAGTGATAATATAAAAATATTACCTGAAATTGAATTTATTCGTGTTAATTTGGATGATGTTAAAGAAAAAGCAAAATATTTAAAAGACGATTTATTAAAAGAATTGGCTAGAAAAGCTTGCATCGTCACAAAGATTATTACGCAACTGTGTTATGGTCAGCCATATTTAGAATGCCTTTTACTCGGACCGGCTCTTACAATATTTTCTGTAGAGCTTTTTATTTCAACTATTTTTATGGATGGTTTTGATCATTTGGTAGGAAAATGGCCTTTCTCTATGTACAAGAATTTTGAGGAAGGAGAAAGTTCACGTCGTGGAGGTAATGGTTCAGAGTAATCCTATTGTAACTGACATGAGGCATAATTGGTAATTCCAAGGCTGGTCCCCCCTTTTTTCCTTGTTATTTTTTTTTCGATTTTTTAAACTTTTTATGGCAAATTATATATCGTTCGAAAGAGCTCTTCAAGCTGAGTCGAACGGTACTAAATTCATCAAAATACGACTTAAATAAACATAGTTATGAGCATTTGTTTTAATCCCTTTCAACATCACGAAAAGCATGTCAATCGAGGATTTAGCTTCATAATTCTGCTCAGAATTTCCAAATCGAACCGATCATAGTATCATTCTACTCAGTTCGAACAGCTCTTTCGAATGATATATTGTAAATTATATGACAAGCAAAGAAGCTCAAAATGGTCAGGCGAACAGAAAAAAATGGGGGCCAGCCTTGGAATTACCGCATAATTTTCTGATTTAACGATTGATTTGAGTTAATTTATAAGTTAAATAAACTAAAAAACATCAGCTTCGACTAACTTACTGGAAATTTCTAATTATAAAGATAAAATCGAGTCTGCATAAGCGGACATAAGTGAGGTCATTATGAAGGTTGTTTGTATGTACATGTCCTACAAATTTTAAGGGAGAAAACTAGAACTGCCAATTTTATTAATATTTTAAATATAAATTTTGCCTCATGTCAAAAAGGGAAAAGGATAGCAGTGAAGTAAATTTCAGTTTACTTTTATGTTCGCAAAAGAGATTTCTGAAAAAATTCTTCATTCTACCCCTTTGCCTATCTTTCCTTTGATTGGTTAAAGCTTTGCACATTTACTTTGTGGCGTAAAATAAAAAGAGATGTGAAATGTGAAAATCCTTAACTCTCGAAGAGACTTTGTCACAAATTTAATTCTTAAATTTTAATTTACATTTTTAAATGACTCTATATGACTTACCCCACAAGGAAAGTTTTTCTAGTTTACAACCAATCGAATAAAGAAAGACAAAGGAATTTTTCGATATTTATTTCTATTTCATCTTTTCTATTAGTTTCCATTTTAAATTTATTTTAAACCTTTTGCCAAGTGACATTTACCTAGCGTTGATTATCTTTTATGGTTGTCATTAGATAAGACTGAAAAATTCTGATGAGAAATGATTTAAAATTTGTCTGTCTATCAATTTTCACCTTTCTGTTGCATTCTATTTTAAATTTATTTTTAAATTTTTTGATATTTCTATTTAGTAGTAGTTGTCCTTTGATAAAGATTTTCATTTTTGTTTAAAAGTTTAGAATTATAAATAGGGTTGGCAAAACCGTTTAATTTTGAAAAAAACCGTATACAGTTTATACCGTTTATCTGAGACCAGTATACCGTTTCGTTTTTAAGACCCCGTTTAAACGACCGTTTATCGTTTATTTTTAAAATGTTTTAAAAACAATTTATAATTCAAAAACAATCAATAAATCGCTTCTTTTGCTCATCCCTAGGGTTGTCGGTTCTTGGAAAATTTTCGGATATCCGAACAGAAAGTAAAATTTTCGGTATTCCGGGACCGAGCCGAAAATTTTTCGAGGGTTAGGAGTTACTGAGGATTAGCGGTGGGGTATAAGTGAATTTGTTGGATATAAGTGGTTTGATATCTGGTGATAAAAATTAAATTTTACGGTTAAATTTTACCAAAATTATTTCGATTTAAAAAAATTTTTTGTCCTGAGTCTAAACTTATAACCAGCACTGTATACAAGTAATAAGGTTACCTTAAAAAGCAATAAGTTTAACTGAAAACTTTAAAATTATTTTTAATTAAATTAATTTTTAACTAAATTTTTTTAATTAATTTAAATCAATTAACAAATAAGTTTATTTTTGGACAAATTTATGATCACCTCTCGCTATATTTCCTTTCCCTCCACAATCTTGCCTATCTCCCTATAAAATAAAATCAATCCCAATAAATTATTTTCTTTAATTCCTTAAACACGGCATTTCTCATAAGATTCCTTATGAAATGCATCTAAGCATTATACATTTCTATTCAGATTTATACGAAATATACAAAAATCATGTATATATAAAGCAAATGGATTTATTTATCTATTTTATATTAACTTAAAATATTTATTTCACTTATAAAAATGGCACTAAACTTTTTTACGCTAGTTAAAAATAGAAAGTCAAATACAGCAGTGTGTGTATTTGAAAGGCGTTGCCTTCTATCGAAAGGCGTGAGTGATTATATGCAAACCTAACATGAGAGACTGTATTAATAATACCGTAATTCTTCAGATTCAACGGATTATTAATAGTTGATACAGCAGACCTGTTGAAGGTCTGCTGTATCAAGACCTATTGAAGGTCTGCTGTATCAAGACCTATTGAAGGTCTGCTGTATCAAGACCTTCAACAGACCTATTGAAGGTCTGCTGTAGACCTATTGAAGGTCTGCTGTATCAAAGGGATGCCGCCTCTCCTTTGATTGAAGATCAAAGGAAATACCGCCGAGTCTGGGGGAGGGGCAAGGGGGACCAATTAGTTGACATTTGGTCTAGGGAAGAGTAATTTGCTGGGTGATCTCTGAGGTGTTGATCTTTTGGGTCTAAACTTTTTCCTTTGTTTTCCTATTTTTATTAAGAAATTGTATTTTTGAAAAATAACCATAAAAATTTTTCTAGGTCCTAATTTAAAAATCTGACAGGTCATTTTCTACAGAATTCTTTGCTCTATCAGATGAAAAAGACCGCATCTGTTTATCTTTTTGGGGCCCGATTTTATTAACCAAAATGTTCAAATTTTTTATTTAACAAATTTTTATTAATTCAACATTTAAA